CTCAAACGACCTTCAAGATAGTACTGTCAAGAAGATCGGTGTGCCAGCCTACTCCTATACCGACCTTTTTATCCCGCTGGGTTGTGATTCGGGTGAGACCTGGCCACCACGCCTCTGCTCCATATAGCGCTATACTAAGGACACAAGCCTGCACTGCTTTGATCATAGGTCTCGGGGCTACGCCGTACTGTACGGAATTTGTTCGACCTGTAAACTGTGTTATACATCGTGCCTTCCCGCACCATTCCTGAACGTGTTACTTGAAGTTGAGCTGAGAGTCTAGCGATACTCCCAGCCATCTCACGTACGGGGATGTGGCTACGCTGTGACTTTGGATCTGAACAGATATGTCTGTAGTATCCAGCTTTTTCTTTGACCATGTTCCAATTATCAGTAGTTCAGACTTTGTCCTGTCGAAGTCTATAATATTTTCGCTCGCTAGCTTAACTAGCTCGTCGACTTCGTTCTAGGCTTCAGCCACTGCTTCAGACGCAGTCCTTCCTTTGCTGAGTATCGCAATATCGTTAGTGTACCCGATTTTTGTTTTCTTATGTCCGCCTTGTTTTAGGATTGCAATTTATAATAAGAATAGGAGAAGTGATAGTAGGGAGCCTTGTGAGACTCCACACTCGGTGACTTTAATCCGCGTCGTTTCATCATGGCATCACACCCTTATCTTTCGCTGGGTAAGAAATGACTCTACCCATAGGCAAAGTGTCCTTGGTCACCCCTGATTCCGCATCCGATGAAGCAGCCGTTTGTGTAGAATTGCATCAAACGCCCCTTGTACATCCAGAAGAACGATGGTTGTTACTGTGGTAATAAAACAGTTCTGCATCAGTATCGATGCAGGATCTCTGTCTGTGCACTACTACATGTAACTCTTAATTCACTTGTAACTAGATTCCACGTTTAATGTAGTTACGTCTGTTTCTTGTCTTAGTCGCGGGGGTTCACTAAAACACAAGGCTAAAACATCATTTGGATAACGTTGTCAAGTTGAGACATTGGTACGTACCTCATCAATTCCCCAACTTTCGTCATACCAAGTTTGATTCCTGTATACAGATGTAGTCTCTACTACCTTCAGAGATCTTCAGCTCATTGTATTAACTGATGTCTCTGAAGGTAAGTCCTCTTACAGTAGTCACTCCTATTATGAGGTTATGGATCGTAGAGAAATGCTGGAATGGTATAGGGAGGTGAAGAATATATGCCGAACAATGAAGCAGTTGAATAGAGCTTAAGGGTGAAGCTTGGTAGGGTGACACGGATTGGGTATGAATAGACCTTCAGAGATATTCAGTAAATGTAATGAACTGAGGATTTCTGAAGGAGAAGAACACTACATGTATATACAGGAATTAGTCCTAATGAGACGAATTTAGAAATAAGCCAGGATATGCGCCCATGTCCCAGTATGGCGACATTATCATGGTGAAGGTATGTCTTGACCACCAGTAGACCCCCAAGCTAGCTGAGTGTAAGACAGAATCATGCATATACCATAATTTCCAACATATCTTGTGTTAAGCGCCAAGACTAATTTATTAAAAACTTAGTCCTTGTATTGTGTAATGATCACTTTAAGGAGTTCTAATATAAAACATGCAAGGTAGACTTGTCTATGAAATCAACTCGTTAGAGGTGTAAATTAATTATCCATCAAAACGGATCCAACACTCGAGATTTACATCTTGAGTGAGGGTCCGTGCATGCTAACAAAAAAACCCAATAACCACGTGATAAACAAGCTAATTGTACAGGGTATCTTGCTCTCCGGTTCTCCTAACTCCTGGCTAATGATGACAACTCAGACCCATAATAAGGGTCATGAGGATCCTGGAATTGCAATGCATTAGACTTATTTCTCAACATAATTAATATTACTGAAAAAAGATGACGCGCAGTATTAAATGATACGAATAACGGAAACGAAAACGAGATAGTACATGACTAGTGTAACAGATGCAGGACTGTTAGAATTACAACAACTCCAATATCATAGTTCATTGTATTAACTGAATATCTCTGAAGGCTATATTCATCGCTCTTCTCGTCAACTCCACAGCTTTATATCTAAAGCCCCGTTCACCTGCTCCTGTGCTCGAATACCACTCTTCCTTCCTCTCCAACAGCCCGAAATCCCTCTCGATCTTTAACCTCACAACAGTTACCTTGCTGTATCGTATTGCCGCCTCTACATCGTGAATGATACAGGAGACTAGATCGACTGCTGAGTATCCAGGAAATGCGCCAAACGGCTGTTGAGGAACGACTCGGTGCTCTATTGCTAGCCAGGCTATTCTTTTGGCCACAATTCGTTCCAAACCTTTCCCGAGATGGCAGAAGAGAGATTGGTCGCCAACTCTTAGCTGTTTTCAGGTCCCGTCTAGGCTTAGGGAGAAGGATGAACTCTGCAACTCGAAAAATGGTGGGGACATTTCCGAGCTGTAAGCAGGCTTGAAAGAGGTTCTTTACATGATCTCTTGTTTTTTCTCAGAAAGCCGAAAGTAGCCTGTCCGTGATTTTGTCCGTCCCTGGAGACTTGTTGTCTGTTCCGATGGAGTTAATTTTACATCCTCTGTCGACAATGTTGTGTTCCACAGGATAGACTCGGGTTGTCCCGTCTCCCATGTGGAGAGATCGTAGGCTGCATTAAATCTGATCATCAGGATATCTCGCAAAGTTTCCGCCCACTCGAGTGGTTCTGACATCCATTTTTCCTGCGCAACCTTCAAGGGAGGAGGTTCTCGACATGGATTGGATTTGGCCCATTGCATTATCTTAAATACATAGATATCCGTGATGGCGTTTTCGGCCTGCTTCCTCCAGTGATCCTGTTGGAACAGTAGTTTTGTTTTGTTTTGTTTTGTTCATTAAAGTGCTAGGTTACATGACTACCGTTGCACTCCTATTGGAGCTTAAGCACGTGTGGGGCCGGGCCGGATCAGTTTAACTACTGCGAAGTACAGGTATACCTCGTCCCAATTTAATGACCGGACCACCTCAGACTTCACCTATGTGTTGAATCATACCAAGCCTGACCGTCCAAAAACCCGCTGTAAATACGCCGTAGCGCAATTTCCTCCTCAGCCTCGGCCACCACGCGCCCGGGCCCTTGACATCCTCATTGACCCCGAAATATAAATGCCGTCCAAGATCTCATCGTTGCTCTAGCCTTGCACCTTCATATCGTACCGTTGGGTTGTTTTCGTCATTGGGGATTTGTGTGATCCCCTCGGTGTATCTTCCCTCTTCTTCCTCCTTTATACACGTCCCGTTTCCATCATGACCTGCCTCATTAGGGCGTGTGTAGGCAGGTGATCGGACGGGTATCGAGGTAGGTCGCAGGTATAGGATCGATTGAGAAATGCTTCGTTGCAAGTATAAAAGGAGTTTAAGAGATGTCGGATGTTTGAATACGACCCCCAGACGGACCTAAATCCATTCGTGAATCGTATGTTAGTGGTGATGAGTTTTTGTTCAACTTTTTTTCCGGCTGTGAAATCTCTGTCGACTGATTTTTCGACCAAAATATCGAGTGCAGCTCCTTCAAGTCGAAAATCCATCAAAAAAATTTCTTCCTACCCTTTTTCGTGACTGAATCTCGGCTCTGGGAGAATATTTCACTCCCAGGTTCGTAGAGGACATCACTGACTTGGAACAGTAGTCATATGCACTCTAGTAACAGGTGGAATATGTTTTAACCTGTTGTAGCAGTAGTGCAACTTATGTAATATTCTCTTGGCATTCTTACATGACACCAAGAGGATTAGAACAGATAGATAGAATGAATATGTATGTGAATGTTATTGTATCGTTTTATTGAATTTATATATTACCTTTTAGTTACGCGCGTATACCGTATTGTATCAACAGGTCCCTTTATGCTGCTTTGGCCGTTGCTCTAAACCAATTGGGGGCGGTTAGAGATGATGTGGTTGGTTTATATTGATGGCAATATAGTGTAACTGCGCTTCCCGAAGAAAATATGTGAAAACTAAAGACAACAAGCAGAAAGGTCTGGGGGGATTTCACCACAAAGATTTCCTCCTGTGTAAATATTACAGATTGTTGACACCTGCATGGGCCCATAGGGCGCCAAATCAGGTTAAAAATATCAAATTCAAATAAATTTCCGGAAGTGCCACTCTATTGCAGCTTAACTTTCCAGACGGGGTGGTCTAAGTGGCCAGTCCGGATCACTGCCATGCACACGGAAAGAATGATTAAAGTCATGTAGGCATGAGTCGTTCACTCTAGAAATCGCTCCACAGGCTTACCGTCTACAGTACTTTTTGGTAACCGGCTGATGCGTAAACCGTCCTGCCGGGTCATTGCTCAAAATTGAGTCAGTCTCATGATTCTTCATGAAAGGTTCTGTTACGGGGCGAGACAGTATACAGGATAGAAGTCACGAGATAAGATATAAACAAGATACGTAAGATATGATGTAGACAAAATACGGATATCTAACAAAGTGTCGCACGCCTTCTAAAGACGTGAACGAGGACTGCTTGAAGGTCTCCTCCGACTAGCTCGACGCTAGTGTCAATAATAACACTAGTCCTCTCCGTTCCTATACAATTGTGTTACTATGACAATTAGACCCCCTACAGCTGCTTAGGCATGCTTTCACCCTTTTATGGAGAGTCATGATAATAACCCTGAAAGATTCCATATCCTATTCATCAGGATAATCTTTGTCTCTCTGACAGGATCTCTAAAATTATGTTGTTCCACATTATATTTCGCAGTGGCGATATTTATATTACTCGCTTTGCAGGAAATCTGTATTTGATTCACAACACTCTCTTTATTACGCACTTCTGTGGCGACGTTAGACTTTCAATTTCGCTTCTAATTCTTCAACACCAAAATCTCGGCTCGCAAGTTTGATCATCTACGCTAACTTTCCCCTTTTTTCGGAAATATTACCGCCTTTGACGCCACGACCTCTTGCTAATGCGCACGACATCCATCGACAGACTTTCAAAATGATCTTCATCTACGCCTTACTCTTGATAACAAATTCCCTATCAAATAATCCAGCTAGAATTGTTTTCAGTAGTACTGTTAGGATAGATTACGAGCACCGAACAAATTACAATGATGTCTATGAAATTTCAAACCCCGAATTCCCGAAACCTGAAGATGACTCCGGCATTTTCATGATTATAGATGATTCTAGCGCTCAAGGAACTCACATTGCAGTCTATATCTCAGATGATAAGTCATATGCCGAAATGATGGCCGAAATTATGGGCGGATCATCACCATTGACGGAAGAAAAAATCATAAGTCTTGATAAAGACGCTCGTGCAGTTCAAGAGTGTTATCAATATCTTCAAAGTTCACCTCGACAAGCTGGTGCGACGAATCCACTAAGCTTGTCGAAAGTAGTGAATTCCGGAAAATGTACCGCAAGATCAATTGCAACCCTAGCCTTTGAAGATAAAGTCACAGTAGAAGGAAAATACAGCTACTTTGCCCCAGTTTCTACCCCCTCATCTATCAAGATTAATGTCGATTATGCAGTTGAAGTAGAAGATTTAGTATTACCCCAACAATCTATTATTCATACAACTTCTCACTTTACACGAGCAGTCGTGTGGTACCAAGGCAGACCTCACATCCTCGCTCGATGTGGCAGATTTAAAGATGCATGGTTCATATTGACTAAAATCAAAGGAAAAGTAGAACTTAGAACATTAGATTCGTCAATAGAATTAATCAATAGTGTCTCTGGGAAGTATGGAAAATATGTCAAAAAAAGTGGATTGGACATTGAGTTGGATATAAGACCTGGGAAGGTCAACCCGGCAGCAGATTATCAGACCTACGGAAATACACGTATATTCAGGACATCGAAACCCCCTAGAAAAATTACAGGTGTTCTTGTTAGTCCAGGAGATTGCGGTTTATACAGGAGTAAATTACCAAAATTGTTTTAGAAGGCGATATAATTTCCGCAGCGGAGATTGAGATGAAGTTACAATGCGCGTTGAGAGAATAGTGTGTGGAGGAATGAAGCGGTCAAACAAATCTTTCAATTTGCATCCAAATCGAAACCTGTTCTTTTATTTTGCATCAGATTTTAATTGCGTATGCAGCTATCTAGCTATGACACAGTATCAAAGAAAAGTACAGAAAAGATGACTCAGTTTGTAAGAAGAGCACTCATGCCTGGAATTTCATTTGCGAGTACCAGTGCGAAGTTATGGCGGCTTTTTCTTCACCCCAAGTCAATCCTCATCCGTGAATACCCACCCAAGGGAATGTCTCAAAAACCCTGAGTTATCCAGACATGCCTCCATCCATTCACTTTTCTCCGCGCGAAATGTGGTCTGAGGCGTCTCCTTCCCAAGTGGAATAGGTGCCCAGGCTACTCAATTATACCGGAGATAGCCACCAGGAGGTTAGCCACAGCGCCTTCCATCATTTGCTTGTGTTTATTATTTCAGCTGCACTCTCGCATTCGAATTATTAGCGTGTACAATGCTCTTCTATTTGTAAAACTCCCGGCCAAAATTCCATGTCTCACACCTGTCTAGATTTTACTCTTCCTTTGCATCATCTCGTAAACTTGTCCTAATCCCTCTCACGTCCATCCCAATGAACTGTCTCCCAGATTTGTGCGCCAACCATTTTTCCTCTGTGGGGTATAAATGTCGGCAAGGGCGTGTTTTTGGCGACCAGCTGATGCCAGAGAAGAGTCGATGAGAAGTGCGGTCATTGAAACGAGAATGTACTAGGTCGTACTTGTAAACTTGATGAGGTGTATAGGTGTTGATGGGGATCAATCTCGTTGGGTTGGAGAGTTTGATTTCGAAGAGAGTCTAGCATCAATGCCTCGTGGGCCAACTTCTTTGGAATTGCGAAATTTGACTGAATTTGGCTCTGGGATAATATTTTACTCTCAGGTTCGCAGAGGACACCGCGTACAGGTGTTCTGTCTTTGCCCTCCATAACGGCATTCTAAGTAATACTGTATGCAGTTTGAGAGAATGGTTGTTGATATAGGAAAAATGGCATAGTTGCTCAGTTCGAAGCACTCTTTGGTGCGCTACATACTGGTTATGTGGGGGGGACTATTCTCGACACCTGTCATTGGTGTCCCCTACGAACCTCCAGCTCTCACTGTAGAGTCTCCGGAGCCGAGATCGAGTAACAAAGTCCTCACCTCCATGAGCATTCCCAATCGCTTTCGCCGTCTGTATCGTCTTCATCTCTCAACACATTCTTCTATCACCATTTTCATGAGGCTAACCACGATCAGATCAGATGATAGGGTCGAAGCCTTTTTCATCACCAACTCTTGGTCATGGAGGAAGAGTCATCCCATGGGTTCCGGAGCGTACCCAGCACCCGATACGGAAATGGTGGATTGGATCAAGTTGGCCTCGAATGTTATAAAGAAGGGAGATATAGATGAATATGCGCGCCTCATGTGGTCCCGGTGTCTAGGTCTCACCTGGTGGGGCAGGAGGTTTTTTGAGACTTTTTTTACTGGGTTGGGGAAGAATGTTCCGTGGAAAAGCTGGATGAATTCCATGAGTGAATACTGAGCTGGATTGCCATTCATGACGGGCATTATGTAAATGATCTTTCAATTAACAAAAGAGGATAAGAGTACTGTACAAGGTGTGGCCAGGGTCAGAGAGGAGCTCAATGTGCTGGATTGTCATAGACTCAAGTGGCGCAATAAGCAGCCCCCCCACAATGTGCCTAAGCTCCCTCCGCTGAAGCAAGAGCCCAAGACATGTTTGGATCAGAATTCTGTGGCCTGCTACAGTAAATGCTGGGATCAATCCTGTAATATCCGGTCACGGGTAGCATTAATGCCCAGGCCAGTTAGACAAGGATTGAGGGGTCGATCTAGACGGCATACCACTGCACTATTAAGCCCGAAAGGAATATCTTGGCTAGCCACAAATTGTTATGGCGAACTCACACTTAACTATATGTTTTCCGCGCCAAAACCGGATTGATCTAGTAAAAAGTGAAGACCCAGCGACTTGTAGCTCTTTATTTTCGTAACAGCAACAAGGAATCAATTCCACGTTGACCTGGTCTTAATCAGCCTGGATAGACTACTGTCGTAGAAAAACCCTAATTAGCTGGGGCCTTAACGCCCACGCTATCTCCGGCAACTTATCGATTCCGAGCCTGGTAACAACGTGTGGCAAAAGAAATCTTTCAACTTCATCAAAAACATGACCCAGCCCCTTCGACGAGCAAGTTTTGATCAGACCTCGGATGACAATGAGGATAACCTTCCATATCCAGAAGCTCTGCTAAGATCTGATTTTTCTCGACAAGATTTTGATGCGTCAAAATACCTATCAACACTTTCTGATCGACGACAAACTCTCGAGGATTTACAGGCTGATCTTCGAGAACGATCGCAGTTCCTTTCTAAAGAATTATTGGATCTAGTTAATATTAATTATGAAAAGTTCCTCAGTCTTGGCTCAAACTTGAGGGGAGGAGAGGAGCGGTTGGAGGATGTGCGAATGAGTCTACTTGGATTTAAGCGTGGTGTTTCTGACGTACGCGGAAAAGTGTGTTCAAGGAAGGAAGAAGTCGAGGGATTGCTTAAAGAAAAAACTCATGTAATGAGAGAAATAATGATGGGGAGGGACCTGTTGGAGGTTGACGCGCGCCTTGAAGATTTGGAAGATAGCCTCATACTTTCCTCACTTGATCCAACAGTTTCTATGTTAGGAGACGCGGAAGATCAAATTGATGCAGAATCTGAAACCAAGGACCAGCTATCACTATCCAAATTGAATCTTACCGGGACAACTTCAAAAAACCTTCACTACTGTGCAACAGATTTTCGCTCTCTTGAAGCTCTTATAGAAAAGATTGGAATAGATCACCCTTTTATCGTGACTCAACAATCTCGAATAAAGCATCTAAAAGACGAAATTATTTTTAATCTTAGCACAGCTTTAAAACAAATCGCATCCTTAATTGTAGACGATAAAACGAGCCTGATAACAATTTTGAGAGCATTCGATGATCTTGGCGAGGCTTCCAAGGCCGTCTCTATTATAAAAACAAACAAACAAAACCTTGACACAAGCGCATCCAATGCTTCTCACAGGCGTACAAAAAATAAGGCACCTACAAGTTCCTAAAAAATACGTCATTTTGATGATTTTTAGACAGGAGAATGAAAATTAACAATGCCTCTTTAATGTCTTATCTCCCTCACATCGTATACTTTCCTAATTAGGACACCACAAGACTTGTATCCAATCTGACGTGGCTAGAGATTTTCCTTACCATCTGAGCCTCATATCTTTGGCTACTTTTATCAAGATTAGCCTAGCCTGAAATGCCTTGATTTGTAGCGAGAGTTTGATGACTCGCATAAGCCCGCTAATCTAGAAGCTTAGGTGCTGAAATAAAAGAGATGATGATCCAACCTTAAAATCTAGGGGTACAATTACTATAAGCCATTTACCAGCATATCTACCGAAGTAATGATACTTAGACTCTTGCAGTGCTGCGTTTTTAACAGAAATCTTATGAATATTATTTAGATGAGAAAAAATAGATGGAGGAAATCTGTAGAAGAATCTTGTCTTCACGCCGACTTTACCTCCTCGTCTTCACAGTAGGGGCTTCCAACTAAGTCTAAACTTGCTTGTCTCCAAATTTAACCATATCAATCTTTTCGTACCAAAGTATTTATCAGCTAATTATGAAGACTCAATCGTACACCATCAGTTTAAAATTCGGTAAATGATAACTCGCTATATTAGCCCTTCAATACATAGTGACATTGAAGTATTACCATGGCTCAGTTGAAAATGATCTACGAGCAATTTACTCATCGCAAGATCTACTCTGCACTTATTAAGTAATGTTGTAACCATTTTGGTATCGGTCTCTTTATAGGTAGTTAGATGGGCAATAGTTACGCCCTCAGGGCTCCAAACATGGAATGAGCAAGGCAGTGTAGGTGCTTGAACATGAAACACCTACACGTGACATGAATGCCAATCTAGTCTTGGCATTACTCAGCAAACACCCACACCTCATGTATATAGAGCTCGCTGTAGTCACTCCTGTTTCTCCTTCCATAGCCAATCTATCTTACATTCCTAAGGCTGCCTCTCTACCATTTTCATACCTCGTGATTGCAATGGAGTATTGCGCTAAATTAAGACAATACCCCGATCGGGCGCGGACCAACAACTGCCAACTGTCACAGGCTTTGCCCGTGAGGTTAGGCTGGACCTGAATGAAAGCCCAGCCTCGTTCAAGTATTCCAGTCACGTGATTAGGCGTGGGGTCGTTTCTCACTTTTTTTTTTATCTTAATTCATTTTACATGTATTCAGCTATCTAGCTATGACACATGACCGGTGCGGAGGGCAAGACTGAACAACTGTACGCGGTGTCCTCTACGAACCTGGGAGTGAAATATTCTCCCAGAGCCAAGTTCAGTCAAATTTCTCAATATCAAAGTAGTTGGCCCACGAGGCGATGATTCAAAATTACTCAACCACGTCGATTTTTCGCTCCCAACGAATTTGACGCCTGCCTAAGTCTCATCAAGTCTACAAGTACGACCTAGTACATCCTCATCCCTATGACCACACCTCTCTCCGACCTTCTCTGGCCTCAGCCGGTCACCAAATACACGCCCACGCCGATATTTATATCCGCAGGAGGAAGCAAAGCGTGGAGCACAAATCCGGGAGACAGTTCTTTGGGATGGACGTGAGAGGGATCAGGACAAGATTACAAGATGATGCGAAGGAAGGATATAACCTCGAGGGGCGTGAGATTCCGAGTTTTGGCAAGGAGTTTCACGAATTAGGCTTTGTGCGCGCCAAAACTTGGCTTGCAAGAGTGCAGCTGAAACTATAAATACAAGCAGACGATGGAAGGTGTTGTGGTCCGCCTCCTGGTGGTGTTCTCCGGTATAGTCTGAGTAGCCTGGGCACCTATTCCACTTGGGAAGGAGACACCAAAGACCATATTTCGCACGGAGGAAAGTTGAAAGATGATGGAGGCATGTCTGGATAACTCAGGGTTTTTGAGACATTCCCTTGGGTGGGTATTCACGGATGAGGATTGACTTGGGGTGAAGAAAAAGCCGCCATAACTTCGCAGTGGTACTTGCAAATGAAATCCGAGGCGTGAGTGCTCTTCCTTTACGTTTAACCATCTGTTCTGTACTTTTCTTTGATACTATATCATAGCTAGATAGCTACATACGCAACTAAAATATGATTTGAAAAAAATTAAAAAATTATGTACTGTTACATTTAATCACGTGATATGCGTCATTCCAACAATACAATTTCCATCAGCCTTACTAAGATTGCGAACCGCGTGTGGGCTCAAGGTTAAATGGAATTCGTATTTAAAAAAGAATGACACTAAGCAAGATCTTAGTTTTTCCGGAAAGATTTTTCCCAACCTGACTCAACTCGCGATCCTCTTCTCATTTATCTCACCATCCGTCAAAATACTCCGATATTTTATTTAATCATCAAAAATACAAGCAGGTCTAGCCTTTTACAACTATTATGCGCTGTGATAGCATATCCGAAGTATCGGTTTTTGAGGAATCTACAACTCGACCATGAATACTAGTAACTCGAGCTGCGACGAAGCCCCACTGACTAAATAGGCACGACATTTTGCTCGCACGCTAACCAGTGAATATGACAAAATTCAAGGCACTAATGGCCTGGTCTTGAATACCTAATCGTATCTTTGACTTTCTTGGAATAGGGTCTGGCATCAATAGAGCAAGGCCGGGGGTCTAAACAGTTTTTAAATCTTCGATATAGAGAGATAAGCGTAGGGATAGAGAAGATGCTACTGCGAAAGAAAGGGACCAAGTCAATATCCTTGTGACTTACTGAATGGAGTCATCATTTTAGAGGACGGCGTTGGGGCGAAAAGAGAAGATGTTATGATTAGACAAATCTAGGATTGTACAGAAGGTAAAAATCTAGGAATGAGTGGGTAGCTAGGGCTCTGGCACGTTGCAGCTAAGTCAGAGAGTAATTTTGCGCCGAAGCATATCAAAGTTTGGTTTTCTGGATGGTTGGACTTGACACGATTCAACAAATGGATTGAGTCGGAGTTGGTCCAGTCATTTGGGTGGGACATGGCTCACATGCTTGATGGTAGTTAACCAGTTCAAGTCCAACTCCTCCCATACTCAAGCTCCTACAGGTCCCCGAATAATGCCAGTTGTCTGGCACGTTAATGTATGAGGAAGCAAGATGATTCATTAGAATTAGGCCCTGATACAGGCCTAATGGGAGTATACGTAATCTCCGACAAGGCCATATATGAACTGAGTATGGCTGACTTAGATACTGATTCAGTCATTTGTTTGTAATGTATATCGTAGTATCAAGGGCTGACAACGGTATCCTGATTCGAAAATTTATTTCGTAGAATATGCTAATGAGAAAATCTACCTCTTCACAGTAATCCTTTCCTGGCTAGTTCGACTTTTCTTGCGGCTTCTCCAGGCTTAAACCCTCCCTTACTAATACAGAGATATTTTCCCTCTCCTATAACGAACTTCTCTTCGACACGGGGGTGTGGACAAGGGCAATTATTTGGAGATTCAACACAGGCTAGGGTATCGGGACACAGGTAATTAGTGCAGTATGTATCTTCGTAAGCTGTTTGGTAACCCGCAGAATCTGGGGGGCTATTTTGCGGTTGGTGGTGTTGTTGTTCCTATTGCAACAGTTGGTCATTGAGCTAGTCGTGATATTAGAAGACTTACGTGGTGATTGGAGAACATTTGTTCAAAAAACTCGAACTGGGCATTTGAGTAAGAAAAGCAAAATATCGCAGCAGTAACTAGAGTGAGGAAGATCCGCGCCATCGTGAAGATTAATTAGTATTCCGGGTTTGCTTGCACACGATTTTTTAGATATCTGATAATGCCAACTCATTCTTTAGGGCTGTTAATACTAGTCTCTATCAGTCTTAGCGCATCCGTCCGAAACCAAACCTAGCAAAACTCTTTACCCCTCTATTGTTTTATCTTATCTTGCTAAGCCTAGCAGTCCGCCAGAAAAATGCATTCCAAGGAGCTTTCACGTCTCCCAGAAGCTCTCGCAGTTCTCGATTTTAAAATTATCGAGCCACATTTAGTTGCTCTAGATAGGCATTTAATACTGCGAACCTATCTGGAAGGATACTCGCTCTCCGAGATCGACTCGAAGATCTGGGTGGCAGTTCGTAGCAATAAAGTTGCAGTAGCTTTCCTTAAACGAAATCTCCTTGTCAACTTGGGTCGATGGTTCAGCTATGTCGAGATAACACATCCTGAAATCCAAGAGGAAATCAAGGCTCAGGTCGAGAAGGAGAAAGCCAAGCGAGCAGCAGCTAGTAAAGCTGGCGGTAGCTATGCTATGGCTCTGCAAGATACAGATAAAGGCGTCGTAACAAGGTTTCCACCCGAACCCTCAGGATACTTGCACATCGGACATCTAAAAGCTGCAATGCTGAATGACTACTTTGCACATGATCTGTACAAGGGTACACTCCTACTGAGATTCGACGATACAAATCCATCTAAAGAAAAGCAAGAGTATCAAGATTCTATTATAGAGGATCTGGCACTTGTTGGCATCAAGCCTGATAAGACGAGTTTTACAAGTGATCACCTTGAAACTTTATACGGATATTGTATCTCCCTCATCAAAGAGGGACATGCTTACGCGGACGACACCGATCAAGAGACAATGAGAGATGAGAGAATGAAGGGTGTTGCCAGCAGAAATCGTGATCGAAACGTCGAAACAAATCTTGCGATTTTCGAAGAGATGAAGAATGCCACAGAGACTGGATTGAAAAACTGTATCCGTGCAAAGATGAGCGTTGATAATCCTAATAAAGCATTAAGAGACCCAGTAATATACCGCTGCAATCTCTTACCCCATCATCGTACAGGTGAGACATGGAAGATATACCCAACCTATGATTTTGCTTGTCCAATAGTCGATTCATTAGAGGGCGTTACACATGCGCTCCGGACAACCGAATACACGGATCGGAACCCCCAATATCAATGGTTTCTTGATACGCTAAAGCTTCGCCAAGTTCATATGTGGGATTTTGCTCGAATGAATTTTATCCGAACTGTCCTATCGAAGCGAAAGCTGACAAAGCTAGTCGAGTCTGGTGTTGTCTGGGGGTGGGATGATCCGCGAATGCCCACAATCCGAGGAGTTAGAAGACATGGAATGACGATTTCTGCGCTACGCGATTTCATTCTTAAGCAAGGGCCGAGCCGCAATATTGTCGTGATGGATTGGACAAACTTCTGGGCCTCTAACAAAAAAGAAATTGATACTTTTGCACTGAGACACACAAGCTTTAATAAGATAAACTCAGTAAGGGCAAAGGTTATAAATGGCCCCGAAAGTCTATATTTTGAAGATAAACCTAAAGTCCCCAAAAACCCTTCACTTGGATTAAAAAAAGTTGCTTTCAGTTCTAATTTGATGCTAGATCAGGAAGACGTCCAGCTTATGAAGCTTGACGAAGAAATCACCATGATGGCATGGGGAAACGCTTTTGTCCGAAAGATCAGCGGTTCTAGTCCTATTACTGAAATCGAACTAGAGCTTCACCTCGAGGGCGACGTCAAGTCTACAGAAAAGAAAGTTCATTGGTTATCGGCGGATCAAGATCTTGTCCCCGCAGAGGTGTGGGAGTTTGATCATTTATTTACAAAAGATAAGCTTGAAGAAGAAGATAACTGGGAAGACTTTGTAAATAGAGATTCAGCATCTATGGTTGAGCAATTCTGTGATGTGAATACGAAGGAACTAAAAGTAGATGATATTATCCAACTAGAGCGGAAAGGATATTTTCGAGTTGACAAGGCTGCTGCTGAGGGAGAAAAACTGGTGCTCTTCGGTATCCCTACGGGCCGAACTAAATAGGTTGGTAAATCAAAAGTCTCCGGATTAACAATGCACATAAATCCTGCATTTCCTTTGTTGTCAGTTGTACCAAGTAAACGATACCCCATTTGTATCATGAAAAAAATTTGGCATGGCTGAATTTTTGTAATAATAGACTGAGGCTTGGATGTTTGTTAACGTGCTAGCTACATGACACCCATCGCATCCCTACTGGAGCTTGGGCACAAGTGGGGCCAGGCCAGATCAGGTAAGCTACAGCAAAGTACAAATGCCTCGTCACACCCAAATGATAGGAAGATGATGACTGAACACCTGCCAGTGGTGCTTTCCACAAACCTGTGAGTGAAATATTCTCCCAGAGCCGAGATTCAGTTGCGAACAAGGGTGGGATTAATTTTCAGCTTGAAAGAGTTGTACTCGGATTTTGGTCGAAAAATAGGTCGACAGATATTTTTTTTTTTGCATCAGATTTTAATTGCGTATGCAGCTATCTAGCTATGACACAATATCAAAGAAAAGTACAGAACAGATGATTAAACGTAAAGGAAGAGCACTCACCCCTCGGATTTCATTTGCAAGTACCACTGCGAAGTTATGGTGGCTTTTTCTTCACCCCAAGTCAATCCTCATCCGTGAATACCCACCCAGGGGAACTTCTCAAAAACTCTGAGTTATCCAGACATGCCTCCATCATCTTTTAACTTTCCTCCGCGCGAAATGTGGTCTTAGGTGTCTCCTTCCCAAATGGAGTAGGTGCCCAGGCTACTCAGACTATACCGGAGAACACCACCAGGAGGCGGACCACAACACCTTCCATCTTTTGCTTGTTTTTAAAGTGTCAAAGATGACAGAGATTTCACAACCGCAAGAAAGTCGAACAGAAACTTATTACCATCACCATACGATTCACAAGAGGGCCTAGTTCTCTCTGGGGATTGTATTCAAACGACAGAAATCTCTCTAACTTGTTATATATTTGCGACGAAGCATTTCTCAGTCAATCCTACACCTACAACTCACCTCCATACTCGTCACATCACCTACCTACACACGCCCTTATGAGGAAATTTATGATGAAAACGGGATATATACAAGGAGCAAGAAAAGGGAAGATACACTGAGGGGATCACATAGATCCCCAATGACGACAACAACCCAACGGTTCGATGTGAAGGTGCAAGGCTAAAGCAGCGCTTGGGTTTGGGTTTGGGACGACATAGATATTTAGGAGTCAATGAGGATTTCAGGGGCTCGGGCGCGTGTTGGCCGAGGGTAATGAGGAATTTACGCCACGGCGTGTATGCAGCGGGTTTCTGCTCGATCGGGCCTGGTATGATTCAAGACATAGGTGAAGTCTGAGGTGGGACGAGTTTTATTGTATTTATATGGCGGTTAACCTGATTCAGCCCTGCCACATTAGTGCTCAAGCTCCTATAGCAGTGCAGAGAGTGTCAATTGCTCAGCACGTAAATCTAAAAGCTAAACCAACTCAACTAAATGACACATAAACCTCTATTCAAAAGCACTCCAAGCAAACAAATATCAGATACGTTAATATCTACCAATTACGAACTATTATTACCATCATCCACAACAGTCTTAAACTAACACATGACGTAAATGGAATAAAACAAACAATCATCATCATTCTCACCCATGCCGTCCCAGTCCTTTGCAAAGACTGGCTCTTTGCCCCCACCCCAACCGCTAATTCAACGCGTTCTGATTTTCAAATGTTCCTCGCATGGCCACTGAACCATCAAAAATCACAGTCTTTCGGCTGAGTGTCCAGGTCATAGAACGCTGCATTGAGAAGATTTGTGAGAATCATATTAGATAATAAGATACTAGCGTGTTTGTAACAATAGGAGTTTCCTATCGGGATCGTACGGAATAAAAGGAACAACATGCACTAGACCAAAAGAACTCGCTAGGCATTCTATGATGAGTGATTATAGTAGTGCTTTGAGTCTATAGTTTACTGCAAGCCTCTTCGCAACCCGTACGCCCAGGGTGTTACTATTACTAATTTCCTCGCTGATTTGATTTGAATTCATGTCGTATCGGGCTTACGCATCATACCCAAAAGGCGCGATAAGGGTCTATGCCCACTGCGGACACAATACAACCTAAGTAAATGGTTTGATTATCACATCCACCCGCAGAACATAATTAATGAATTGTTTTCAAGCTAAGTTAGCGTCCTGCGCCTTTTCTCCTTCCTCATAACCCTTTGTCCTAAGAGAAAATTCCCTCGACAGGACTGAATCCCCCCCCCAGTATGAGCTCCACCTCTCGTAATACTTGGTGTCAAGAACTGAAGAAAATTCTCCTCACCATTCTCTGCCAGCATCTCCCGTCCTCTCGATGGTGATTCATGCTTCGAGTTTCTCTATTGCTGTAGAGCAAGCTGGCATTCGGCAAAATGCCAGGGATCTTTCTCTCTTCCGCACGCGCATTTACAGTTTCCGAATTCGTGGGCAAACCTTTCATGGTAGTTTCTGAAATCGCCACGTCCTGTCATTTCTACGACCAGGCGCTGATGCGCTCACCTCGGAGGTGCTAGTTTCGATGTACGTTTTGGTTTCATCTTGAGATCCAACTCTTCGTGGAGGCTCGATCTATGTTACAGGCAGCAAGATTCCATTGCTTCTTCACATCTTTGCCTTGCTCACTAGGTGGGGGCTGCGAAGGCGCACTTAGGTCCAACCCTCGTTTCTGAGGGAGATGTAGCTGTTTCATTCGGTAGGTTACAAAGGACTTCCTCAGCCAGTCTATCTACATCTTCATTCCCCGTGATTACAGAGTGGGCTAGTATCCATCAGATTTCAACTGATGTTAAGCAGAATTTCATTTTTTTGGCTTACATTTCAGTGAATTTATGATTATTTATTCTGATGAATTTGTAGGGTAGTATTCCCCTGAATTATGTATCGGAGTTAGTGGGAAGCCGGAAAGGGAGACGGTATTTTCAAAGAATTCAAAAGCGAAGTAGTCTAGATCAAGGACAAAGGGTGAGATCGGAGTTTGGGGGATGTGATATATTTAGATAGAGATTACACAGAGCTTGAGGGACACGCACAAAAACTTCTTTTCTCAAACATCCTGACAGAGTCTATTTGATTGACAACTGATCTGGCTTATCACACCAGTATTGTGAATATTTCCACTGCATACTAAGAAGATTCAGTTTGGCCGGTTCTTAGAGCTCTTACAGTTGTGAAGTTGTCGAGGTGCACCTTAATTGGGTAGTCGCCTGCTTTTCCCAAGGTTCCTTCGAGGGCTGTGTTGGTCCCCAAAGATTTCGGCATCGTAAACCTCCGCCCCTATCAATGGACCAGAGTTACTCCCAATTGCCTGGCCTCCTCTGTATAAGTTATACCCCCATGCAGACCTAGCTGGTCCACATGATGAGCCGTCTGAACAAGCGCAGACTGTCTCGACCGACAGGCTTGCTATCCATTGCTTAGCGTAAGCTGCTTCGTCCTGAAAGTGCCCGCCAGTAATTTTTCTGATGGACTCGGCTTTTGGAAAGTATAATTTGCTGGATTTTTCGGCCTTCGGCACATTTTTGGCGCTGATCTGAAGTTGTGTGAAGTACCGTTCTGGGACCTTGAATGACCGGTTCTCCTGACCTTGGCGGAGACTGAGGTGGCTTATTGTATCCTGTGGGCTCTCTCTAGATCTGAATACTAAAAGATGCCATGCGTCAAACCTCTGAATCCGTACAGCCGCTAGCATTTTTCTCTGATGTAAGATAACAGCAGACGAGGGGATTCCTGACTTCCTCTGTAGCGCCACATTTGGTGTTGTTCACCACACCAGTGACACCGCTCAAACGACCTTCAAGATAGTACTGTCAAGAAGATCGGTGTGCCAGCCTACTCCTATACCGACCTTTTTATCCCGCTGGGTTGTGATTCGGGTGAGACCTGGCCACCACGCCTCTGCTCCATATAGCGCTATACTAAGGACACAAGCCTGCACTGCTTTGATCATAGGTCTCGGGGCTACGCCGTACTGTACGGAATTTGTTCGACCTGTAAACTGTGTTATACATCGTGCCTTCCCGCACCATTCCTGAACGTGTTACTTGAAGTTGAGCTGAGAGTCTAGCGATACTCCCAGCCATCTCACGTACGGGGATGTGGCTACGCTGTGACTTTGGATCTGAACAGATATGTCTGTAGTATCCAGCTTTTTCTTTGACCATGTTCCAATTATCAGTAGTTCAGACTTTGTCCTGTCGAAGTCTATAATATTTTCGCTCGCTAGCTTAACTAGCTCGTCGACTTCGTTCTAGGCTTCAGCCACTGCTTCAGGCGCAGTCCTTCCTTTGCTGAGTATCGCAATATCGTTAGTGTACCCGATTTTTGTTTTCTTATGTCCGCCTTGTTTTAGGATTGCAATTTATAATAAGAATAGGAGAAGTGATAGTAGGGAGCCTTGTGAGACTCCACACTCGGTGACTTTAATCCGCGTCGTTTCATCATGGCATCACACCCTTATCTTTCGCTGGGTAAGAAATGACTCTACCCATAGGCAAAGTGTCCTTGGCCATCCCTGATTCCGCATCCGATGAAGCAGCCGTTTGTGTAGAATTGCATCAAACGCTCCTTGTACATCCAGAATAACCATGGTTGTTACCTTGTTGTATCGTATTGCCGCCTCTACATCGTGAATGATACAGGAGACTAGATCGACTGCTGAGTATCCAGGAAATGCGCCAAACGGCTGTTGAGGAACGACTCGGTGCTCTATTGCTAGCCAGGCTATTCTTTTGGCCACAATTCGTTCCAAACCTTTCCCGAGATGGCAGAAGAGAGATTGGTCGCCAACTCTTAGCTGTTGTCAGGTCCCGTCTAGGCTTAGGGAGAAGGATGAACTCCGCAACTCGAAAAATGGTGGGGACATTTCCGAGCTGTAAGCAGGCTTGAAAGAGGTTCTTTACATGATCTCTTGTTTTTTCTCAGAAAGCCAAAAGTAGCCTGTCCGTGATTTTGTCCGTCCCTGGAGAC